AAGTTTATCATGTTTGGGACTGTCGACGCGGCCCGCTCGGAGCTGGGGTTTGTTTACTTCTGGGTGCGCGCGCGACTCCCGCACGTGACTATGCGCTCGCGCGCACGCACTCACGAGACTTACAGGGTTCAGCGCTCGCGTCACGCAGTACAGGGTTCAGCGCTCGCGCTCTCCACGTGATCCATGCGTTCGAGCACCTAGAAACTTTAACCGCGAATATCTCGACAACGAAGAGTCAGATCGAAAAATGGTAAAGGACTTTTTGATTCGTATTGGCACCAGGTATTCATCTCCAAGAAGTATTCTTCATTTTTATTAACAACTGCTTATATTTCCATAACGAAACCTCGGATTGACAAATGAAAAAGGACTTTTTACTATAGTAAATACATGTATACAGTATATACATAGTAAAAGTGCTTTTATATATCATTCTATTTATACAGTGAAGCTATATTATGTATATAAAATCGGAAAGATTCGGTTTCTTTTCTTCAGAAACAAAAGAGCAGGAGTTCTTTCGTTCTTTCTTTAAATTTTTGAATAATAAACTATTTTCCACCTACACAACGACCAGCACATCTCTATGAGTCACTAAGGAACTATCTAATAATTTTTTACCACTGAATTACATGAAACGAGATAACATCAATTTGAAATTCAACAGATAATACAAATCATCGCCGTGTACTCACCCGTTCCCCCGTCCGCCGGATTCGCCTCCAGGTCCGCTGCCGTTCTAACAAACAAAAAAACAAGTTTATTAAAAAACAAGCCTAGTAACAGTTCGAGGAAAAACCAAACGGAGAACGCGCGTACGCGCGAACGACGGCGCAGGCGTACGAAAAAAATATTGTACACAGTCTTTGGAAACGCGCGGCCACGGAAACGGAAGTGAACGCGTCAGCGCGTTCCTCGATCGATTCGTTTCGACGTTTCGCGAGCAAATTGGGGGGAAGAAAAAAATGTCACTCTTCTTCCGTGGCCGCGCACGCACAATGCTTTGCCCCGTACACAAATCAGTCTCTTTTCGTCGACTTAAGGGTAAGAAAAGCTCCGGATGAAACGGAGAGTCGAGCACGGATCAGAGAGCTCGAGAGGAAGTAGCTCGCAGTCGTTCGTTGGTTAACTCCGACAGACGACCAGAAAACGAAGAAATCCCCGTTGTTTTCAGCCGCGTCGCCCCCTTTCTTTTCCTTTCTTCGCCCAGCCGTTCCACAGCTGTTGACTCAGATTAAGACCTCCTCTCCCTCGGATCGTTTTCTCCCAAACGCTGTCGCCTCGTCCGTTTCTTCCGCCATTGTTTGCGGGCGCGTTTTTGTCTCGGGTGACAGTGGTCCCCCTTCACTTCCTCCCCCGGTCGCGCCAAATGCGAACCAGCGATTCCTGGTTAATCTCTTTCTCGGGTACATCTTTTTTACCTCTAGCTAGCTCTCAAGAATGGCTTTTCAACCTCGTCATTAATCGAGACTTTTGAATACGGATCTGGGAAACATCGTGGTTGAAGATGGACATCCCCTTTCGAATATATTTTCTGCATTGTGGTTAGGTTACCACTTGCCATAATAATTTAAGAAACATATGCACAACATTTCAAGAGCACTAGAAGTTTTGGAAATTCGTTTTGGAATGTTGTACGATTTTTCTTTATAAATAAATGACATTACCTCAAAAGAGCACGGCATTAACCCTTTAGTCTATAACAACGCGTGAGACTCGTGGTATAGAATTTGAGTCGAATATGAAAGAGCCAGGCACGTCGTACAAGAGTGCCTAAGGAATTTTATATCTGACTATGGCACGGTTCTATAGTAAATCGTAGGCCAAAGGGTTAATTTTAATACCTAATACATTAAAAGCCTTCTGAAATTAAATTGTTTAGATTCTCGATTAAAAATACGAATAATAGACACCAATAGAAAAGCCAACGAATAAGTTTCACAGTTTTAAAAATCTAGAGAAAGACTTCCCTATTTAATATCTCGAGGTAATACCCTTGTACAATAACCTTGTGTCTTCCTCGAGACAAGAGATGATCGTTCAGAGACTCTTGCCAGGACATTTATAACCACATTACACGACCTCAAGATAAACCAGCTGCTGGTAAATTTTCTCTCATGAGCACATTTTTTGCATCGCTCACTTCTTCAGAGGATTTATAGAGTTTCATTCCTATAGCTGGAGAAGAACGACCCCGTTTAATGGACTCAGCTAATCCAATGTTGCCTTCGAGACAGAGGATGATCTCTATGATGATCAATGATCCACTCCAGCCAGACCACCCGAACGATCCATCTCTCTGACGTGTACATCTTCTTCATCTCTCGCTAATTTGTCTGTCAGAGCGAGATCTGTGACGTGATCGTTAATAGAAAATTTGGAAGATTAGAGGACCACTGTAACTGGAGTGCATGCTTGTTTGGAGGACTCGGACAGCCTTCTTTCTTCGAGGCGAAAGGATTCCTGTATACTTAATCGAAATAACTCGTCTTATCCTCTTTTCCTTACCGCGTCGTACAGTATCGCTCGTGATTCTTACTCGAGAAGCTTCGTTAAGATCCAAGCGTTCCCCGTTTCGCGAGAACATTACATTACCCCGGGGTCCAGGAAAACGGACCTTCTCGTTTTCAACATCGCTCTACCCAGCTATCTCCCTCTCGACCTTCTTTCCGTTTCTCTTCTACGCGTTTACACTCGCCTGCGCCTCTTCTCGTTCTCTCTCGTTCGCCCGGTGTCGCACGGAGAAATGGAAGATTGGAGATAGTGTGTAACAGCCCGTATAAATATAATATCACGTATAATACTCGTAAATTCTGTCACGATAGAGATACAATATAAACTTATGGATAGCGTAACAAGTATAAGTATTTAGAGTTAGAGCCGCAGGTATCTTCGTCCCTTTATCCGCCATTGTCGGTTCTCCTATCTTCTCAACGGTGTCGCCGAACCCCCCTATCGTCGTTCGCTGCCCTAATTCTCGCCGTGCGGACAAGGGGGTCCTCCATTCGCCACGAGAAGCTTGGACAACACTGGAGCGTGACGAGTATTTGTATCAATGCGTTTGTTTCCATCCTCTGTTCGTTTGTTCGCCTCGGTTGTTTGTTCACGTTTAGCCACGAAGTGAGCGCCACCGAGGGCGTCTCCTCGATGATACCGAGGGGCTACGCGGACTTTGTTGTTTCCCTTTGACGATATGTCCCCGTAGGGGAAGCTAATTTCTCGCCGGAGCGCGCGGTTGGGACAGTCGTTGCGGTTGTAAAGTCGTGTAGCAAAAATAGGGAAGCGTTCGCGAACTTTCGCTCGTCCAAAGGACGAAAGGTTTCGCGATGCAATTTTTTGGAATGTATCCGGAGGAACGAAAATGGGCTCGAATGGAAGTAGATGGGGGAAGATAGAAGGCGCGTGTGTGTTACGTGGATCTTCGAGGATTTTATGTGACATGCGATGGGGTCGAAATGCATCTTCACTCCTTTGTCAATTGTATATTAGCAGGGGTAGCTGATAGAAAGCGAGGTGGAAATATGTCTGATTGAATTCATATTATCAAAGCACGATACGAATAATTTTTAGTTTTTATTTGTTACTTATACCGTAAGTCTCTTTTGTATTCTCCTTATTTTCTTAGCGAGAGTTTGTATAGAAAATCAGTCATATTTCCTTTTCCTATATTAATAACTGTTATTAAACGTTTATTAGGTTACGAGTTACCGATAGAATTTCAATATTCCCGAAACGGATTCAATAAGGACGAAATGTAGAGTAATTAAACGTTTGACACGGGTACCGAGTTGGTCATTTTGCAAAATTATCGTTTCATTACGGAAAATGTATTGGAAGAATAGAAATATGTTTCACGCGGCAGAATTGAATTGAAATTTGTATTCGGTTGAAAGAACTACAAGCCCTTTTTATTCCACTTAATCGAACGTTATGAATTTTGTGAAATTATTACCAGCGCGTTCTTGCGAGGCTGAAAGCGAAATAGGATTTAATTTGAAGTTACATTTTCGCGATAAATTGTGCAACGTGAATTAATTTTGTAAGCGACAATTTAATCGCGTCAGCCGAGCGTTTCCATGGGATGTCAGGAAATTAAATTGTTCGCGTTGCAAATAAATAGTGTCACAACTGTGTGGAAATTGCAAAGAGAAATTGCGTTTAATTGTAAAGATTTACATTGCGGAAAAGGAAAGGGATAACAACGTTCGATTAGTAGAGTGACAAGACACGGCTGTAGTACTCTGACTATTTTAATTAATGCTGGCAACAGTGAGCAATGAGAAAAATGAAAAATTATAGTAACTATTGCGTTATTAATACTACTATTAACATATATTAATGACTGTGCCAGTACTTGTTTATAAAATTGCTGGTATAAAGTGGCATTCTTCTCACCTGCCAATAATAAATAATACAGGTCGTCGTCAAGATGCGTGGTGTTTATTGCAAAAAGTTCATATATCAATAAAAAATTATCAAGGGCTTATAGATTTCGATGAAAGAAAGGACAAGATATTTGTACACGATGAACGTAAATGTGTTAGTTGTTGAAATCGAGATAGCTACGATCAGGAATGGAAGAAGAGATGCAAACTGCCTGAAGGATTACGAAGGGTTGGTAAATTTGCCACGTTGTCGACCCTCGACGCACGGAGACGCACTCGGGGGCTAATTAAGTACAACTGATTAGTTACCATACGTTATACATCTAAGTGGAGTAGCATCGCTTCGCGAGTATAATTCTGACAAGCGTTTACTTAACAACGAAAATACCGTGTACTTATGTATACACCGCTAACAAGTTGTCCGTTATCTATTATTAGGCCTTAACAACATACTTCCTTTAATTCTGCTTAAACGCTAATCGCTGGCTCGACCAGCACCCCTAATTTTACGCTACGATCGAGAAGCCTTAATGAAATCTGTGCACTTCGACCACGGTCATACACGGTTTGTCCCCAAAGTATCTTTATTTTTATATAAATGGTAATGGGCGACACCTATTTGTTGATACAGGGCGGTATTCTCTGCAATGGATCTTAATGTGCTCACTCTGATTTAGATACGATTAATTGAAGCGATACAGAAAAGATTGGTCCATCTCAGGACACAAGATATTAAATAGAATCAAATATCATTTGTGGAAGATTTGTATAATAGAGAAACAATAATGTCTTATGTGACAGAAGTTTTCTGAAAATGTCTTTATATAAAAATTAAATATAAATATAGGACATACCATTACAATTACCAATCACAAATATAATAGTAAGTGTCTTACTAAAGAATATTAAATAATTGTTTTTTAAGAAAGTATACAAGTTGTCATAAACTAAGGCTACCTCAAAAATCGTTTCCCTTAAAACCACACAATTTAAAACTTTCTTAAGATGAGTCTATTGTCTTTGAATATGTCAGATATTAATTATAAAGGTCTTAATAATTTTTAATGTTTTGTAAGACTTTGCCTCCTGAAGAGAGTCAATGAATGAAATTAAATTTACAACTAAAATCACGTCTACTTTATTAATCAAAAGACTTGAATCAAGACCCTGAGCAGAATATGACCACCGTCTTGCTTTCAAGAACCGTCACCATTTTATGACCAAAAGTCTGTTTCAGTTAAGTGCGAATACTTTTGGGACAGACAGTGTATTCGCGATGGAACGATCCGCCCAATTTCTCTTGATGATATGAACGCTTAAAAATGGAAAACGACACCGACGATATGAAAACTGTGCGATAAGACGGCCACTCGTCGAGACACCGCGACGCTCTCGCATTCGACGACGCACGCACGATACAAGGAACATCGATATTGACTACTTATTAATATCATCGTTCGGCGATATATTCGTAGACAGAACGCAGCCTTCGAAGGTATTCCTCGGCCCCTAACGAAGCTCGAAATTGGCCTAAAATCTCTTCACCGTACGGTTGCTCGGTGATTTACTCGCTTTGAACTACGGATTCGCGTGGACCGCCATCTTGTCAGTGGTCAAGGCGCACCACTAGCTTCTTTGTTCGACTCTGTAGCTCTCTAAGGAAATTTAACGATGCCTCGACGAGATTGACGTTCATGATAAAGCTTTGGGGATCGTTGTTTCGTCTGCGCTCCAAGAGTTTCGCTATCGCCGATTAAAATGGGATCCAATGATCGATTGGACAGGCAGCTGGGTGAAGATTTGTCGCACGATTTACGTTGTGTTTATAAAATTTGCAAATTGACGACAAGATGATATGTGGGTGGAAGGTCGATGTTCGACGATTGAGAAGATAATGACAGTTTAGGCGAAATTTCGCTGCTTGATTTGCATTTTTTAATAACAGTTTGCAAATTGACAGCAAGATGATATGTGAATAGAAGGTTTGTGGACGATGAAGGGAGAGATAATTATTGGTTGGTTGCTTGATTTGCGTTTCTAATAGTTTGCAAATTGGCAACGAGATGATATGTGAATAGAAGATTTGTCGACGATGGAGGGGGAATACTTCTTTTTTAAATATTTTCAAATCAGCAACAAGATGATATGTGAGTAGAGATCGATAAGAATGACGTTTTTGAACTTGAACACTTTTTATGGAAGGTGTGAGCGTTCGCCATTTTCGCAGTTCCTTGAATTAAAGATGTGGAGTCACCTAATTTTGCTTACTTTTAGATAATTTACTGTTTTAATATCAATTTTCAATTTTTCGCGATGTTATTTTAATTCTATAACCTTTCCTGATCCCGTCACCTTTCTTTTTTCTGAACGTTTAGGTGAGTTGGGGAAAGTTAACTTTTTACTTCCGTTTAGGGCGGAAGAAAGTAATTATAAGATGAAATTAAGCTGATAAGAGATTTAAATGCAGTGATAAGAGAAGGCTGGAATATTCTTTTTAATTATATGGAAGTAATATTATATGAGTTATTTAATATGTGCTAGTAAAAAGTTCATTTTCTATTGAACCTTGATAAATTGAATCATGCGTCTCAAATATAACTGTTTCATTGATATGGAAGATTTTTTTTGTAAGAAAAGATCTCATGAACACAGCAGTTTTATTTGTGACACCACAATATTAAATGCAATCTAAGGTCCCACATGAATTGGTACGATCTAGAACACTTCGTGGACAATTGGACATTGGTATTCACCTCTTAGGAATACAGTAAACAGATATATTTATTCCAGATTTATTAGAATATTTTCGAAACAGATTTGATTATACGATCGAATATTTACTTCAGCTATTTGGTTTCTCGTTACAGGGTCTATGAGTGAGTTAACATTGTTAAATGACAACATACGTTTCAGCTTCCACAGTTCAAAGCAGAGTTAGCGAGCTAATTACTATGCTCAAAAATATTTCCAGGCCATTATGTAGTCGACAAACATGAAATTCCCGAGGCTACATGAAATTTTAATTAAAACTTTTCTTCATTTTCAATTTCCAGATGAATAATAAATTACATATACGAATAGACCACTCATGATTTCTAGCAATGGAAATCAGTTTGTACTCCACTCACAGGATACTCTTAATATTTTCTATTCTTCTCGGTATCACGAAACTGTAATTAATGTTAGCTTTAAGCCCAATGCAGTACGCGACCGAAAGTTTTCCGACGTTTCAGCGATGCTTTGCGTGCGTCTGAATTTATTGCCGTTAATTTTCCCGTCAACAATTTCACGAAACAAAACAGAACGTTGAATATCATTCGAAACCATAAACACGGGAACCACTCGGCCCGCGATAATGAAATTTGCACGCGCATCCTCGCTCCAGGCCACCGGATGAAACTCTGCACGGTCCGAAACAAAAGCGTTGACTTTATTCACGACGTTAAATTGTATTGTTAATTTCACACACATTTTCCTCGGGGCGAATTCAATTGGCTTGGCGTGGTAATTAGGTTTCCACTTCGCAAGTACGCGTTCAAGAAATTCTAATCGAGCCACTTACCCGAGTCCCCTAGATTCCGAGGGAGTACGTATGCTTTTCGTTCGTTAGTTACAGACGAGGTCGTGTTTCGACTCATATTTATTGGGAAAAGGCTCAGCGATTTATCAAAAATGATCTCATAAAGATATAAGAATTTAAAGCCTTGTTAAAATATGCTTGATTCTTGCTATTACTCAATTTCACGTACTTTTAATTAAAAATTTTTTGAAATCGCTACATATTCTCAGTAACTGAATGTAACTCCTTACATTTCTTTAATCTCATTTCGATCAATAGATCTGTAACTCGCTCCAGTTGATCGACTAATTAAAATTACTTTTTACATATTTTATTAAATCTACGCGAGAGTTTTACTAACGAATTAATGAAGTCTACCCGATGAAAATCAGCTCAAGCACGATCTTCATCGGACTGTTTTTAATTATACGTCACTAGAGTCACTTAAAAGAAGCTTCCAATTGTGTATAATTAAAGATTGCCAGAAAGAGGTCATGTTTGGACTCTCATTATTATCTTGAAGATTTGATTAACTGATTGGCAATACTTCCATGAAGATTTAATGTTCGTGATACAAAGTTACATTGTCACATCTAATTAACTCTTGCTATTTAATCCATCTTACTCGTTCCCAACCTAAAAATGATCAATAAATAATGATATATTTTTTCAAAACAGTTTCAATCATACGTAATTAAAACTCTATTTGTGACTTGAATAACATGTATTTAAAAATAATTTGAACGAGGTTGGCTCACTTTCACCAGAAAAGCCTCACGAATATATTACTAATACTTTCATAAGAATATATATAACAACAAAATATATAAAATTTAATATTGTCACTAGCGGTGTCTCATTCACCCCGAAATAAAAATAATCTCGTTCTGAACGAAAGCTAAAAACAATCTTTCCCTACAGTAAAATCGCTACCTAGCCTGCGTAGTCGAAGAACAGTTGACCCGATTCGCAATCAGTTAGTAAAGGAATGCAATTCCCCAGAAAGAACGCGATTGAGATTCGCGCGAAGCTTCTTGTTACGTTCGCCCCGAGCTCGAGAGGTTGGAGAACGTATTCGCGACGATGATTAATCGTCAGCTACAAGGGTGACGGAGAAACGCAGAAAACTCCCGAGGATACATCCGTCGGCTGTTTACGTATGCAAAGGATGCGCGCTGGATAACCCGGCACAAAAGCTAGTTTTCGAGAGCTTCCCTGTTGGCGCAGCGGTTCCCAAGAATTCTGGAGCGTCGCCCTTTCCATGGTTTCTAAAATGTCGTCGCCGTCAACCTCCCCTCACCCACGTCCGTTTCCGCGACAAAGGGGACGGAATGCCTTTCCCGAGGAAAAATTGAAAGAACGCGGTTCTAAAGACGAAATTACTTAGCTCCCAGCGCGAAGACAACGCCGCGTCGGAATCCACAGACGGCGACCGAGCTTTCGGTTAAAAGGAGACGGTGACTGGTAATTTGTCAATGAAGAAAACCTCTGTTGTGGAAACGCAGGAGCGAGCAGGTCGTGCTCCATGGCGACGTGACCCTCGCTCTTTGGGAGGCATTCTGGAATTTGACCCATATTTCTACCCGTTTGTACTCGGAACGACAATCGACACCGAGAACTCGGTCTTTCCGGTCGTTCCTCGCGTCCAGAGTACATTCACCGGGTTAGAAATTATGCAAATTGTTTGTATTTCGAATTGCGAAGCTGCCCTTTGACTCGGTGAAATCTTTCGTGCAAGGTAAACATCCTAATTGACACAGTTTTTTTTTTATAAAATTCTGTTCAAAATTTAACAAAAAAATTAGTGGCACTATTTCTTGCCTGGATTGTAGTCTGAGAAGATGGAGTATTTTATGAAGTACAAACAATATCTTTTTATACAAATATTAACCTACTTTATACTTACATTATTAATGAACAAGTTATTAATGTTCGAGTAATCCATTACAAGCTTTGGACAGTGTAATGTTTATAATAATTATTGCAATGTCTCTAATAAAAAAAAAAAAACATAAAAAATGTAATATCTCTATCAATCTGTTAATAACCGTACTAATTGGATAAATTGAAA